ATTTGCAGCTGCCTCATCATTTCTTCTAACTGTTCACAGTAGAGGTCCGCCGTTATTGATGCCCAGGTCTCATAAAACTATAGTGTATAACACCCGAGCTAGACCACCAAACAGACACCATTAGTTTTTTTGGTGTATACTCGGCTTTTGGGTGTGTTTTGGCGCTTGATTTTTGTCCAATCATTGTGCCGAACGCTTGCGATTATCGAAAAGTATCCACTTTTCATCGCACGTGACTATCCGGTGCAAAAATGGATCGCCTTTTAGTCTTGATACCAAAGAACAGCAAGCCTCTAAGTGGTTCCGTTGCTGACGCTCGCTCAACTCATGCGGAACCCACCTATCCAGCTTCTTTACTTTTCCGATTGCTTTCAGATGACTTAATATTGTTGGGATGGTAACTTCAAACCTTGCTGCTAGTCCACGCATCATTTCAGATGGATTTGCTTCCACTACAGTTTTCAGTTGATCGTCATCCACCTTGCTCTTAGGCCACCCGCGTGGTTCATTCTGAAGATCAAAATCTCCAGATCGGAATTTTTTGAACCATTGAAATACTGTACGTTCGTTAGATACATTCTTGCCAAACACTTCGTTAACATTTCGGCTTTCCTGCGCTGCATTAGTTCCACGACGGAACTCACATTCGAAAATGACTCGCATTTTTGTCTTATCCATGGCTTACAATATTTAACCTCCAGACGACAATACGATAGACTATTAAAAACAAAAGAGTGCATCTGAAAGCCAGATGGCGTACCTTCTTAATGCAAAAAAAAAAATAAAGGACAATCGAAGTGAAATATCGGAGATATCTGGTATGAACTTGAGGCTTTAGGTAATCCGACATTTCATACTTAATGACATATTTATATATATATATAAAACCATAATAAGTTGAAATAAAAAGTATTCTCTTATTTAAAGTGTCATTATATGTGCCCATAATTATGAAAGTGGTCTAAGTCATATATCTCTTGTTTCGAGATATTTAAAGATTTATACTTGAACACTATATGAATTCTATACAATATTGAAATAACAAACATTATCTAACGATTCATTTTTGATAATATCGTGAAAATTACATTGAATTTGTTTAGTTTATAATTGTTGGGGCCTAAATTCCTCAATTAAGAGTCCTCTGGCAATTTCGTATATGGTTCATAATCGGAAAGGTTGGGATGTTCCCTTTGTTGTTCCTTGTGAATCCTTAAGTCCCTTTGTTCTTTGTGGCTTCTGTGTTCCTTAGATGCTGAAGATGTATCGTTGTAGGCGTCCGGTGGTGGAATAGAAAGAATGGTCCTTTGAATTGACCCAGCAGGGCGCATATATGGTGGGGGTGCGAGAGGTAGGGATGCGAGAGGTGAGGTTAGTGCTTCGATAGTTGCTCGTAACGAGTATCGATCTAGAATCTTATATTATTCGATAGAATCGAAAGTGCGCAATTTGATACAGCTAGTTACCGTACGATCATTTCGGATCGTACAATAATAATGTAGTGCGTAATAACTGATAAACTCATTTTTTATTAATTTTGACTTAGATCACTTTCATAATTATGGGCACATATGTATATGGGAAATTCATCGAAAAATCCTTAATCTGGTATTCAAAGAAAAAGCGATTTCAACTTATATGGATTTTATAGTAAAAGATTCAAACAGACTAGCTAACGCTTTACAAAATATCAACGGAGAAAACTTAGATGTTATGCATCATGTAAATCTATGTACAATAGACATAATATATGGTTACATATAGCAATTCTGAAAAATTTAAAATATATGTATAAATATAAAAAAAATGCATTAAAAATTACTTTTTTCTTGTACCGACAGAGAGCCTAGTAGAAATTAATTTAAATTTGCAGAGTGACTCGAATTGTAAACTTGATGAGCATATGGCTGAGTAATAGTCAATAAATTTGATTTTTATAATAGAATGTAATGTCAATCTATATTTAATATTTTATTAAATTTTTTTTTTTTACCAGAGTGTTGGTCATAATTTTAATAAGGTTTCTTAAGTTTTTGTTACATCCAAATATCATATTTAACAATTCAACTATTGGAAAACGACAAAAGAAACATCTTTCACAGATTGATAAAATAACAATCGAGGTAAAAATAAAAAAATATAAAAACATTTTCACATTTCAAATTGCCTAGTTTTAACCCAATATTATAGTTTAAAATTAATTACATTTTATTCATATATATTATTTTTGCTCATTAAGATTGTAAGGAGAAAGGAAGAATCCATATGCGAAGATAACTTTACGGGGGAAGGAATAGATCCAAATGAAAGTAAGAATAATCATTTTTTAAAAATATATTCTTTTGGAATGTATTTATAGATATAAATACCTTTTATAATAATAAATAAATAATATATTATATCTGGTATAAATAAAGGATATAATACGAGTCCGTTTCTAGATGTGATATTCAAATCATTTTACAAGACCGGAGAATATTTGGAGGCAGATATTCGAGATGAGATAAATACAATAGTTTTTGCTATAAGTTAATATCTGTCTAAGATTGAAGACAATATCTTTCTATAAATTATGGTAATAAAAAAATTGTGTTTTTTTTTTCCCTAGGGAACCGATACTACCGCTCATACACTTGGATTTTTATTTTTAATGCTGGCTACGTATCCTTACATTCAAATACGCACAGATAGCAATTAAAAATTATCTTACTTGTCATTAACTTTTAAAAAATTAAATGTATTTTTATACAAAACTTTTATAATAAATAAGACTTTTCTGATTGCAGAAACATGCATACGAAGAGTTGTACGATATGTACGGTTCGAGCGAATCTTATGAAGTTCCTATTACTTTGAAAGATATTAAGAAAATGAAATATTTAGAACGATATTATTTCCACCTGTTCCATTTATTGGATGAACACTATGTAACGATGTGAAAGGTATTTTTATATACAATAAAATAGTTTTTGTCCATTAGTACTACTGTTTTATATCTAAGAATAATATGTAATTATTTACTGTATCAAGTGAACGACAATTTGGTAATACCGAAAAATTGTCAGGTACATTTTGGAACATTTTTTCTTCACCACAAAGATAAATTTTGGACTGATACTTTAAAATTTAAACCTGATCGGTTTATACCAGGAGATTATGATCCCAAATGTTTTATACCGTTTAGCTCTGGGAAAAGGAACTGCGTAGGTAACAGTTTTATATTATTTTTACCCATTTTTGATATAGTATTCTAATTAGTTGATCAGCTTAGTAAATGTTTATTTAATATTACTTTTACAGGTCAAAAATTTGCCATGATCGAATTGAAGACAATAGCTGCTAATATATTGAAAAAATTTACTATTCGAATAGACAATCCAGTATCAGCTGGAGATGTAAAATTAAAATTAAATACGACATTGATGCCAGTTGAACCTATACTCCTGAGATTTATCAAAAGACAATATTTATCATTTTTGTCAGTACCATGTTTTTAATAAAACAATTGTAATAATTATTTTTTCTAATAAGAAATAAATTTTGAACTCTATAGATTTGCAGTTTTATAGTGATATTCTTATTCGTGTTCTTATCTATGAAATATACAATATTATCAAATAGAAGAAAAATAAAAACATTAAAAAAATATGTATTTCAAAAAAACGACTATAGTCGAACTAATAGAAATTTTTTTTTATTATTTTTTTACAGAAAACATTAGATTTAATCTTTACAAGTATACACATACGTGCGATTATGCATATTAATTATAAAGAAAGAGAATGCGCACATACGCCTATATGCAAAACAATTTTTATGCATATTTAATATCGTTTCTATTTTAATCTGTGACTCAAAAAATATTATCGACGCAAATAATTATACGCAGTACACGTAACCATCTTCACCTTCCTACAAAGAGTGTAACTCAACTTTAACAACTTTAACAAAGAGTGTTTTTGTAACTTAACAAAAAACAGTATAAAAAATGGTTACAGAGATATAGTTAGCCTCTTTAAATAGAATATTATCTCACTACAAGCTTGTTCCAGTTTATGTTTGATAAACGTCAAACCAAAGCTCTGTTAGTTCAATAAAGTCAGTTACATAAGGATAGAAAGGGCCAGTAATACAAAATCACTACTGATAACCAATTATTAGTCAATCATTTCCTTATTAGCTAATCAGAAAACCATCACGTCAGTTTCTCATAGTTATAAATATTGCATAAATTATTTATATTTTATTTGAATGTAATTAATAAATAGATGTTGTCGTGAATCAAATGTTTCGATAAAAAAAATTGAAATAGAAACGATTCGTATACGAATGCCTTGCTACCGTAGAAGTACTTTTTCTTTTTATTATTTCTTGACTATCACACGCGACATTCTCGAAACGAGACATTCAATTTACTCAGGTAGACCAATATAAAAATTATTGTAAAAGTTGTTGAGAGCTACTGCGTAACTCTAATTAAAAATCTGAAAAAACGCGACTGGAGGTAAATTGTTCTAGAGAAATTATTTATTAATTAAATTCATTAATTTATTAATTCAATTAAATAAGAAAAATTAGGTATTTCTTCTTAAATAATAAAAACTGAACGATGACATTTATATAATATTAAAAAATAATCTGGTCTTATTTTATCTGTTTCTGTAAGAAACTTCTTTATTAGCATATTACAATATCATGTAGAAGCAATGTAAGGTAAACAAGTTTTTTTAAGAAAAAAACTAAGTATTTTAAATCGATTACCTTTTTTTAACCTTGGAAATGTATATTATGTGAATTATATATATATAAAATATATATATATTTTTATATATAAAATATATATATATATTTTTATATATATTTTAGTTTTAATTATATATAAATATAAAATAATATAAATATATAATAAGAATAAAATATCACTCTTACGTATTGAAAGTATTATAAAAACACGGACAAAGTACAGTCTTGGTATCTTTTAAATAAGATCAAGCTCATTTATTTATCTTTAGTTTGTGTAAAGACGCGAAGTATAAAGGAACCTCTGAGTGTCTGAGTTCTGAGTGTATTTTTGTACTTATCCTATACTTACAAACAAAAGCAAAGCAGTATTTTTAAATGAATTAAACACACAACTTCTGTTATTTCTAATTTGTTCAATTCAACATGGGATACATTGCATACGTTATTATTTCAATAATAATAATAATTATATTATTCTACGTCATTAAATATTTAATAAATAAATTTCGAAAATATAACATGGTGAAAAAATATCCAGGTCCTAAAGCTTATCCTATTATTGGAAATATGTATATGTTTCTTGGTGATTTGACAGGTAAATTTTCTTATCATACTTTAAATATGTACATTCATACAATTGTTATTTAATGAATCTGTTTTAAAGTTAGATGTAACTCGTAAATTGATACAATTTACCACAATCTATTCTTCGCCTTGGCAACTCTGGATAGGCTCAAAATTACTTCTAGTCTTCGATGATCCTGAAAATATTAAAGTAAGATTTATTACATTTACTGCACTTCTTTACGAACGATTAAATCAAATAATATTTTTTTCTATTTCGGATTTTATTATATCAATTATTTGTTTTGTTGTTTAGATACTTTTAAAAAATTCAATAAATCAAGAGAAAAATTTCGTATATTACTTTGTTAAATATTCCTTAGGCGATGGATTATTTACAGCGCCAGGTAAATTATAAGCTCATATAATTTCTTTTTAATTAATACAAAAGAATGACCAAATTCAAAGAATATTTAAGTATGTTTTAAATATTTCTTACAAAGTAGTGCTGGTAATAATAGTTTATTTTTTTCCATTTGCGTAAAATATCTACACGTAAACACATGTCTATGCATGTACAAAGATATCCTTTTCTAATTTTTTATTAATAAATATATAAAAAGAAAACAGAATAAGAAAATAAAGTAAAAAATATTTTCTTATTTAAAGGATCATTATGGAAAATACATCGAAGAATAATAGATCCAATATTCAATGCCAAAATGGTTTCATCTTATATGGAGTCAATAAATAAGAATTCCAAAAGGCTAGTCAACATTTTAGAAATTACAAACGGAGAGAACGTAGATTTCTCTCATTACGTACATTTATGTACGTTGGACATCATATATGGTGAGTTTTAGAAACTCTAGAATTTTAAAAATATTTGGACATAAAAATTAATAAAAAATTATTTTATTTTTGTACTGACAGATACCTTATGGGAATCTGATTTAAATTTGCAAAATAACCCAGACTGCAAACTAGATAAATATATGACAGAGTAATAATCAAAAGAAAATTATTATATTTATAATATAACATAATATAACTTTATATTTATCTTCTTATTGAATTTTATTTGCATTTAGATCGTTAAATATAACTATGGAGAGAATCTCAAAATTTTGGTTGTATCCCAATATTATATTTAGGAATTCATCTTTAGGAAAGCGTTTTCATGAAAATGACTCATACATTATGAATCTAACAAACGAGGTAAGAATAAAAATAAATTTTTTTCCCAAATTTCTTGATTGTAACTATATAATAAAGTTTTAAGAAAAATTATATCTTATTCATACTTAATATATATTTATATATAACTTTCATTCGTTAAGATTATAAGGAAAAAAAAGGAGTCAATAAAAGTAGAGAAATTTTGCCGTGAAGGATATGGTCTACATGCGAGTAAGAATAATCATTTCCAAAAATATTCTCTTAGTAAATTATTTATGGATAAATGCCTTTGATATTAATAATAAATAATTTGTCATTTTTCTTAAAAATAAAGTAAAATATACGAGTCCATTTCTTGACGCACTATTTGAATCATTTTACAATACAGGAGAATATTCGGAGGCGAATATTCGTGATGAGATAAATACATTTCTTTTTGCTGTAAGTTCAATTTATTTAGGATTATATAAGATTTCTCTTTATTTATAAATTGTTTTTTACAATTTTTTATTATTTTTTAGGGAAGTGATACTTCTGCTGGAACTCTTAAATTTTTATTTCTAATGCTAGCATCTTTTCCGGAATTTCAAGTATATAAAGATAACCATTAAGCATTATCAAATTTATCATACTTTTTTAAAAATCAAATTTATTTTTGTACAAAACTTGTGTTATTTATTTGTCATTTTTGATTGTAGAATGGTGTTTATGAGGAGCTGTACGATATGTATGGTTCAAGCGATGTAAATGATGATCCAATTACATACGATGATACTAAGAAAATGTATTATTTGGAACGAGTCATTAAAGAAACACTTCGTCTTTTTCCTCCTGCTCCATTTATTGGACGAAAATTATGTAAAAATATAATAGGTACTCATATAGACAAAAAATACTATTGGTATCTTTTTTTAGTATTTAAATTATTATTTTATGTAATAATAATATGTATTTAATTATTATATGAAGTGAACGACAACAATGTAATACCAAAAAATACTGATGTACTTTTTGCAATTTATTCTATCCACCGGAATGATAAATATTGGAAAGATCCATTAAGATTTAATCCTGATCGTTTTCTTCCGGGAAATTATGATCCGAAGTGTTTCATCCCATTCAGTTCTGGGAAGCGAGGATGCATAGGTAAAAGCACATTATTATGCACTCTTTAAATAGTTTCTAAACTGTTTATTAGCAAAGTACATGCTTACTTTATGACAATATTACTTTTTTAGGTAAATTATTTGCTATGGCAGAAATGAAAACTATAGCTGCTAGTCTATTGAGAAAATTTATTGTTAAAATAGATAATCCAGTATCAGCTGAAAATGTTGGCTTAAAAATATCTATTACTTTGGAACCAACTGAAACGATACTCTTAAGATTTATCAGACGATAATATTTATTATTTTTTTCATTATGTACTATGTTCCAAATAAAACAATTGTGAAAGAAAGAAACTGTATATATTCTACAACAGATGAATTGACAAGAATTGAAGATATATTACAGATATGATCCTCTAAATAGAGATCTTCAATTTTTCTAATGCTTGAGTTTTATGTAGAGACTATGAAACTTCTTTACTTATGAGATGCGTGGATAGTCTAGTGACCAGTCGAAGAACTAAATTATATTATTAAGTGTATGTATTGAGATAATATGAGTCTACGCTTCATAGTATGCAATCGCACACAAATACACACATCTACAACACTTAGTAGTCTGGAGTGGGAACTACGAAGCACTGCACAAAGAAGAGACCGAGATAATAAGAAACAAATGCATATTGTCTTCTATCTCATTCTCTCGCAGGATAAATCCCATATATTTTTTTCTCTTTCGAAATATTTCATCGCATTTTATGTTACAGCTTTTCATAGTTTTCAAATCATCCTGATTCTAAAGAAGTTTTCACTTCACAAAAAAAAAATGAAAAATAAGAAAAAAAATAAATATGAAAAAGATGGAGTAGAACACTTTATGCTAGAATGAGAGAGAAAGAAGAAGAAGAAGAACGTTCGTTAGTAGAATGCGTTCTGAGAATTGGATTTTAATAGGCACGTAGTTTCACGTGGAACGTTTCGAGTCGTCGAAGGAAGATTTTACGACTAACTCGTTTGAGCCTTTGAAGCCTCGGTACCGGCTAAGAAGAAAAAGAAGAACAAGAAAAATAAGAAGAAGAAAAAGATGAAGATGAAGAAGAAGAAAGATGATGCTTTTTCATAGACTAGTCCGAGTAATTAAAATTAATGTGACACTAATACCAACACGCGTCACAATCTTTCAAATAGTTGAAAATGAACATTAAAAATTGTCTTCCATGTAAATGAATAAATCAATTCGTTAAAGGATAAAATTCAAAAACTCGTACGAGTCGAAAAAAAATCCTAATCGTTTTTTTTATTTCTCACGATTGATATCAGTAAAAAAAAAAAAAATATTAGTCTTTACGGTTAGGTTAATTTTGACGTGATTGTCTCGTAAACATTGGGATCATCAATTTTGTATATCATCTTGTTAGAGAAAGAGAAAGAGACAGAGACAGAGACAGAGACAGAGAGAAAAAAACTTAACGAGTATCATTATCAACGTCATAATAATTTCAAGGTTCTACATTAAATTATTTATCGTTAGGAATGGCAGGAGTTACAGTCTAAGTAACACACGCGCACATACACACGTACACGTGTATTTATTTACGTATGTATGCGTAAATGTGTACGTGTTTGCGTTATAAAAAAATAAAAGAATAAGCGCGGGCGTATCGAGAAGGAAAAAGAAAGTTGGTTTTGCTGGCAACGTTACGAGTTTTCGAGACAAGTTACATCGTTCTTTCTCTAGGCGGATGTAATATTCACGACGGTCGTCGTCCGTGTCGCTTTTAACGATACGACTTTTTGGACGAAAACAAGGGGAATAAGGGATACGGAACGATGGAAGTTTAGGTTGAACTGGGTGGAAATGGTTAGGTGGGGGAGAAGGGTGAAGAGTTAAAAAAGGAAAAAGAAACGGAGGTTGTTGAACGAAACGATAAAACAAACTCAACTGTCCGCCAAGTTTTTTTCGCGTGCTAGATGCCATAACTTTGCGTCAACGTGAAACCTTTTCGCTCTTCTGCCGCGCCAAACAGAAACCAAACAGGAACACGCGATATGCTTTTACCGATTTCGAGCTTTCCTGCTCTTTTCTTCCTTGGCTTACTATAATACGTGCACGGATCCTTGTTCGGGTTACCAATGACACGTAGAACGATTTACTAAAGATTTACGACTGGGGTGAAATTTCAATCTGAATTTTCCTTTTATGTTTCACATGGAAGAAATATATTTGAATAAAAGTGAGAATTATTTTACAATTATTTCACGTAATTGTAAAATAATCAATTTATTTATAGATGAAAAATAAATAAATTTAAATGAGGATTATTATTCTTTATTGTAGTCATTGATTTTAAAAATGTGGAAAAATAGGTTGAATAAGATCGATATATGATACTAACAAATCTTAGGAACCAATCTGTGCTAAGCCAAGTAGCGCTATTCGCGTACAATAATTGCTTATGAACTAGAAAACTTTCCTTTCGTCTATCTATCTATCTCTCCATCTTTCTTTCTACCACCTGCTCATTTTCATTTTCACTCTGGTCTTTACTGGCTCGTAGTACGTCCATCACTCAGGTTGCTTGTACACGAATGTTCATTCTACTGACAATGGGAGCCCTCAAAAGGCAGAGCCTGGCACCGAATGCTTCCAATCCAAAGTAGAAATATTTTTCTGAAAGGTGAATCGATCGATGTCTGGGAATTCTTCAAAAATAACACTGTATTAACTCTTTTCTTCATGGACTATAATTAGAAAAGAAACGTGAAAGTTAAGAGTGAAGTTGTATTAGAAATACTTTGAAATCCATGATACAAAGTACTTACTATGAGCTATAATAAAGGTTAAAAAAACTCTGTAGAGACCTTGACTCTAAATATTCATTATGAATTATAATAATGTTAATGAAAATTTAATTCAAAATGTTTACAATAAGCTTTGAAATAGATTACAATGAATATTTGATATTTTTCTTGAAAGCAAAATGACATTTTGTCTATTAATTAATAACTAGTTCGAAATATTTTGAAATACATAAATACAAATACAAAGTACAAGTAAAGAAATACAAAGTACTTACTACAAGTTACAGATAAAATCAAAACAACCCTGAAGAAATCTTGATACAATATAATCATTATCAATTATAATAAAATTAACGAGATCTTAATACAAAATGCTTACAATAAGATTCACAATAGATTACAATGAGCATTTGATATTATTCTTGAAAACAAAATGACACAACTCATTCGAAATATTTGAAATACATGATACAAAGTACTTACTACAGGTCACAGACAAGATTAAAACAACCCTGAAGAAACCTTGACCCAATATATTCATTATGAATTATAATAAAGTTAATGAAATCCTAATGCAATAAACTTCGCAATAGATTACAATGAACATTTGATATTATTCTTGAAAACAAAATAACACTGGGTCTGTTAATTTATAACTCGTTCAAAATATGATGTTTTTTGCTTAGTGGGCAAATGATTAGGAGTTGTAATAAAGGAAGCATTGTTGTAAGTTTCTAAAGGAAGGTGGTATAAATAGGAGGGTCGGTGGATAACACGCTCTAGTTTCGGAATTACGGCATTTGCCGTGCCACATATCATAATATATCGTACGTATGCATATAACATATATTATGTAGCCGACAGGCGTACAAGGACCTTCGCTCCCCAAACACGAAACTCTCTTAAAGCCACGTGTAGTCTACCACTAGGTATCCTTGGACCAACACGGGGGATGAAATCTTAACGAGACGCGGCTCTCTACGTTTCAAGGAAACATGCTTGACAGTGAAATACCTTGCCGACGCGTGCTTAACAGCTCTCTACCTTATTTTTTAAATATTTTTCATAAATATTAATACCAACCCCTCACGACACGATACAATACGATACAAATATAATACACGATATTTCTTCTTCTTCTTCTTTCTGGTTTTCTTTCTTATTTTTTTCTTTCGTTTTTTTTTATTTTCACCGTCACGCTTTCTTTGACTTGGAAAATTGAATAAAAGAGTATAAGAAATTGGGGTGGAAAAAAAGGGGATAAAAAGATAACAGAAACTTCGGACCATGTTTGCTCGGATCAAGGACGTTTAACAACAATTTCGTTCTCGTAATGATGTAACGGCAGGAAGGTAGTACAGATCAAACAAGGAGTGATTTTGTTTGAAGTCTGTGTTTCTAAAGATACTTGACAAAAAGTTTCACTCTTTTTCGAGTGGGCATATTTAAACTGTTCTTTCTATTGGTCGACTTGTTTGATGGTTTCAAAAGAACGTTAAAACGATGAAGTATCGATATCGAAATAATCTACCAAATCAAATTGACTTTAACCGTCGTTTACTTTATCAGTTAATCTTTGAACCATAATTTATCGGTTTAACGGAACGTTTCGTCTCAGAGGCAAAACAAAAACAAAACAAAAAGTTTATTCGTTCCGAGAGAAACGATCGTGCGAAAAAAGATAAGAAAAAAAAAATACTTAAAAAAAAGTAAAACGTAAGTTTCCCCTTCTTCGAAGAGTATTCTTTACTCGAAATACCTTTTTTTCCCTTCAGTTGGTTGCTCGCTCGTTTTCCTTCCGAGGCAACTTGCTAAAAGCACTGTAAATTATTGCTTAAACTCGGCTAAAGTTTACGGTGACACCTAGCGACGCACGCTCGTCCGGATTCATCCCCTGTTCCTTCCTTGCGTAATTACGCTAATTATTGTCATTTCGGGAATGCGGAACGGTGGGAAGCAGTTGTCTCGGTTTCGCGACGTCGCAAACGTTTCCTTTTCAAAATACAGCATAATATACCACTAAAAATTCGCGAAAACGAGAAAAATTTATTTCTATCTTTTATTCTACCTAACAAATTCCGTCACTATTGAAAAAAGGTAACAGTATTTACGAAAATTGAATTTGAATTCAATTTTCTTCATTTATTTTTCCTTGACAATGATTGATTTGCATATTGTCAAATAAAAATACCAGTAAAAGTAGAATTCTCTGGTCAAATGGAAAGCTGTTACAATATATGCGTTACACATATCCATGGAAACGTCCAAGTTTGTACGTGCAGTAACGTAGCACGTATGCATGCATTCACCTTAGTGTGTTCCCAAAGCAACACCATCTGCAATGGTATGCAAAAGCGCAGAAACGTTTGCATACATTGAAATATTCTAGGGAAACTATGCACACACTCAAGATTCGATAATAGCGACTCGTCGAGGGTGGCCGAGACTATGGCGTGTAGGCCTCGGGCACGACAGTCCGTGCTCAGACGTGACTCGCGAAACAACCCCTTTTTTTTTATTCTAACCCCTTCTTTAACTTTCATATCTTCCAAGTGTTTCCTTTCGATTTATGAATATTTTCTTTTTTATTTTGTTTGTTTGTTTTTGTTTTTAATTAACCTACAATAAATCATTACTCGCAAGTGCATTTTAATTATAAAAACACAAATGATTTAAAAGTGAAATAAAATCGTGGGAACTATCAAATGGAATGAACGTATTATAGTATTGGTTATACAAAATTACGAAATGGAAAGATAAAAGATTCAACTTGTATGAATCAGGTTTGTGTCGGTGTAAATTTTAAAACTAGGAAATCTGGTTGGGACAAAGAAACGCGTTCCGAAATATCGAGACAAATCGAATTGCGTAAGAGTGAGCTGACTAGTTTTTGGTTGTAGTAGTTGTCGTCTAACCATAAGTTGTTGTTGTTGTTGTTTCTTCTTGTTTTTGTCGTGGTGTCTCTATGTGCCGGTTCCTTTTTATTTCCCGGAAATTTTTCGACCAAAATTTATTCGTCTCGGAGGGTTACGGGGCAAAAAGAAAGATGAGAATAAAATAGAGAAAGAGAGAGAGAGAGAGGGTCATGTGTGTGCCAACATACGCGTAAGCGCGAACACAGATGCGGAATCACACGAGCATAAGCAAGTGAGGCCAAGGTATCCTTGATATTTAACGATTGATTGGCAGGATTGCCAATTTTGCCAATTACCGTTCAGTTTCGTCGGCTTTCGCGGAACGACCAATCGAAATTATATAGTGTCGGTGTTTCGAAAAAGATCGCCACAAAGTTTCTTTCTCTTTCCCTCTCTCTTTTTTATTTATTTTTTTTTTTTTTTATAGAGGTCTACGCATGGTTACGCTAAATCGGCGGTAGTCCTTCCTAAAGTCAAAGAAGAGTCCCGTATATGAAAGTAAAGTAGGGGGAGTAGCCTTACGGTATCTATCGAACCAACTTTCT